GGGGGGGGGGGGGGGGGGGGGGGGGGGGGGGGGGGGGGGGGGGGGGCAAGATGTGTTTGTGTGTGTGTTGATGGCATCGACCGCGCTAACCGGCTAACGAAAGAACAAAGAGACTTCTCAGTTCGGCTGAAAACGGAAAACGCTCTAACAAGCAAAGCACATGGTTATTAGTAAGGCCACAATCTGGAGTCCCGTGAGGGGGGGTCAAGATAGGGAGGAAGCTAGGCCTATTCTCCAGAATAAAGGCGGAAACGGTAGCAGATGAAATTTGCCATGTGTGTTGTTTTTGTTTTTGTTTTTCTCCCATCATTGGACTCTGTCGTCTGCCCCTCTGGCCCCTATCCTCCACTTCTACTAGCTAGACGACCCAACCGGGGTCACATAGGAGGGGGGGGTTGGACCCCCCCTCCTGCGGTTCATGCCTGAGGTATTTTTATCGCGAGAAGGGTACAGCAATCCCTTCCCTCGCGACTTACGAAGTCGATTATGGTTTACTAACAAACGAGCTTTGTAGCGCGTCGCTTTCATCCTAGACCAGGATTTATGTAGTGAGAAAAAAACTCTCTCTGCCGGGACTCGAACCCATGACCTGGCCCTTAGCAGGCTGCGAGGCTACCCACTAGACCACCGGGGCGACCGATTGTGTGTGTGCCCCCAGTGCAAGGCCCGTCGCACGCATTATTTTATTTTCTCAGGCGCGATATAGGTTCTGTGAATCTCACGGCGAGACGCTTCTGAGCTACAGTTTTCTTGTCCTAACGCCGCCATCATTGATCTACAACCTCAACGCATTCGTTTTAAAACAATTGGAGAGAAGTCACATCCCACCTCCAGGATGTTTGGACAGACCGGGCGCCTCGAGTTGGGCTGGCAACGCTATCACCCTCTACGCTTCCCCATGCATCAATGGGCGGTGGCGATGGCGGTTGTTGCATTATTCATACGGTACCTGTCAATCTTGGTCTGGTTGGTCGAAGCCACTTGACACTGGTCGCACGCCATGCAGCACGTGAAGAGCCCGAACATGATGGAGATGGCCGTCAGGGCAACAGTCGCGGCGTGGTCGGACGGCGAGAGGCGACACTCCTCTAATCGACGGTCGTCCCCGATAAGTACCACTACGACCAGCTCGATCATCAACGCGAACCTGGGCAATGGGGGGGGGAGAGCATAGGGGAAGACAAAGGGAAAGACAGTTGGGAGCGAGGGGGATGCTAAGAGGGAGAAGCACGAGGTCAGGAGAAGAGAGAGAAAGGACGGAAGAGAGACGAGACGGGCACACGTTGAAGCCAAAGGAGGAGCACGATGGAAACAACAAACAAGGCCGGTTGGTTCCCCCACGATGCCATTGCGGTGGTGTGTACACAGCACGCGGTCATGCCAGAGGCAACCACACCACAGCGATCGCCACGCTCACCCGCCAAGCCCGCAGACAAGCGACCCCATGGCCATGGCTACCCCAAAACAAAGACCAAAAGCCGTTCTTGTCTCTTTACTACAATATTCCTGATGTGCAGCACGCGTTACTGTCCAACAACGAAAAAAAACACTCACACGCAAAGCGCGCAAGTGTAGGCGCAGAACAGCAAGAAGAGCTTCTGGTTTCCGATGCCCACGCAATTGTTCACCCACGGGCAGTGGTGGTCCATCTTGACGATGCACCGCTGGCAAAGGCTGCAGTGGTGAGCCCGTGCTGGTTTAAAGGCGTCGCACCTGCTTTTTTCGTCCACGGAGAGAAGGAGGCCTGGTTGACGCTTGCCATCGTTCTGGCTTAACGTTGGGGTGAGAAACAAGCCGCCCGCACGAACACGTAGTGCTTGCTGTCTGAATGGTTTGTTTCGCGTTGGATATATGGCCCGGTAAGGATTTCCTCAGTACCAGTGTACTCGTGCGCGTTGCGCGCCGATCATGCCATGTACACCCCGAAACGGCATTACACTTACCGCTGGTCCCCAAAAGCACAACTACAATCCCGCTCGGTGTTCATGAAATGCACCAACATGGGAAGCGATCAGTATATAGACCGGCGTCGCGCAAAAACAAGCTGGTCGAATCGAACCGCATCGGTGCTGTCTGTAGGAGAGAGAATGTCACTGCTGCCATCCCTCTTTTTCCACCTTGAGTCGGGGTGTCAACGACGCAACCCAACGCGGGTTCACTTCCCTTTCTCTCGAAACTTTCTGTACGTACGTACACGCCAAGAGAATGGCTATCCAGCCAACAAAAAACCATTTCCTCTCTTACTTGTAGCACCACTTCAACGCACGCTGCTGCTCCCCCCGACCCTCCCCCTCCTGCCTCTCCCGCCGCTGGCCCGCCGACGACGTCGGCAACAACGCGCCCCCCCTCCCCTCTGGAGGAAGCGAGCCCCGGGTCGGCGGGGTTGCCGCAGCAACAACAGCACCCGACGAAGAGGACGCCGGTGTTTTCGTGAGGCGACTGGTTTCCAGGTCGTTGTCTTCCTCCTCGCCCCGACCGCCCCGATTAACTCCCCCCTCCTCCTCCCCCCCGGTGTCGGGTGGTGGCGGGGCCGCGTCCCGCGGCACCGCTCCTGGGTTCGTGAGCATCGTCCTCACGTGCGCCGTCGCGGCGACGGCGGCGAGGGAGACGAAGGCCAGGGAGGTGAGCACCTTAGGCGCGGACAGGCACTGCTCGAACGGGGTCGGGCGCAGCAGCACCGAGGTCACCATGTAGACCGAGAAGAGCAGCATAGACCATGTCGCCAGGACGCACAGGATCCCGCACGCGTCGAGGTTGCACCAGAAGCGCGCCCTGTTTTCGCAAGCCGGGCGCGCGGGGGGAGGGTGAAAGCTGCTGTGCCGCGACTAATAGTCGACTGGGTAGAGGCGCTGGTCACAGACGTACATCCCCCAAAGCAGCCTTGTTGTTGCTGTTGATTGGACTGCTCTGCGGTGGTGTGACGTGACATACATGCATCGGATTCCATTGCGCCGGCGTCCAAAGCCCGATCGCCACTACCGAAGAGGTTGTAGATGTGAAACGACCCGCATTCGAAAAGCTGTTGGTCACATCTTTCTCAATCCCGCCCTCCTAGGAACCTCTGTAAAAGACATCTTCCCTCTCGCTTCCCAGCATAACATGCAGATAGATACACAAGACGGCCACCAAACTGTCTTGTTGACCGTGTTACCCACGGGGGAGATATCACTTGTGTGCTGCTCGGGAAATCGTGCAAAAACAGAATTTTTACTGACGCTATGGATTCATTGCTAATCTACCTTAGGCTCCTTTCTTCGATGCTTGTAGAGAGATGGATTCGTTGGGTCATATTGATGAAATAAACAAAAGACACCGTTTTCGTTTTCCTTCGGTCTTGCGGAGTAATCGAGGTTTACTCGGCCGAACGGGGATTCTCATGTTGTGATGTTGTGATGAACATCGCATCAAACAAGGAGATGGACACGATACTACTGCTTTATTTTTGTAGTTTCGTGCGAACTTCAAATGTACATACGGCTTCAGACCGACAGATGGCATCGTCCATTCCTCAAGCCGATACGATACGGCCACATGTAATCGCAATACAGGCCTCGCTGACTTCGGCGGCACGTCTTGGACCAATGCACAAGCAAGATCACGCCAAACCCGACAGCAACTGCCGTAGACTAGTCTAATTCGGTTATCACTACTCGAATATCGAGAGCTGTGTCTATGGCACACAATTCGTGGAAGAGATGCCGGTTGTCACGTTGTCACAGGACTACAGCAGCAGCAGCAGCAGCAGCAGCAGCACAGCTACTAGTACAGGTCAATGACGTGTCGTCGGCCGGTTGATTCAGCGGAGGACTCCTGCTATGCTACCGCTGTATGCTCCGCTGTTGTAGCATTCGAACAAGACGCATCATTTCCTCGCTAATGAACCAACGCCACTATTGTTGGGGGCAAACTGCTTTTCCGGTACTCGAAACTCGAAACTCACTCATGGTAGGTCCCGATCATCACGACCTAGACTGTGCTGTGCTGCCGTCGCACTACGCATGCCATGTGCGGAACATTCATTTTGTTTCAGCATTTCGATTTGTTTTCGAAACGGGGGGTTCGCAGTATCAAGCAACGTTTGCTGAAGGAAGGTGTTGTGTATATACTGCGGGCCCCCTGGGAGTGAGATGCATGATCTGGATGGATCAGGCAGAGCATCTGACCGCGAATCTTTCTTTACCTATATTGGTGTGGCAACCCAAACAACAGAGGGTACGGGAAGTTCCTCTTCGCCTCTGTTTTGACTTGTTCCTGGTTCTATTGCCATCGTTATATTACTGTTACCGGTGCCACAAATGTTTACCGCATGATGAATAGTCTAGCTAATGAACCGAGCATCGGCAATCCCGAAGGACCCCGAGTGCAGAAAACCACAAAGTCCAAGAACTTATTGTAACTTGAGCCTCAACAATGCCGAAACGCCGATAGAACAGGTGCGTGTTCAGTCAAGAGGCCCACTAAAACCCATACAGTCGCCATGATGGGTGTACCCTTACAACATACTCTTACGAAAGATATGAGCCTCGTCCAAAACATAAGAGGTCCTCAAGTCGTGGCGGCGTGTTTTGTCACTTCATTAACATGGAAAGTTTAAAGCTCACGCATCACGCATGAAAATCAGGAGTGTACCTGTTGGTCACGTATGGCTCCGCTACAAGTTGCGCTACAATTAACGGACACCGCCGTGCCCACCCTTTCGCCCAACCAACAACAAGACTTGATCAGGGTAGTAAGATTGTTCCTCAAATCAATCCGACCAAAACCAACCAAGAGAGGCGAAAACAAACAGTCGCCAAGCCCAAACCACATATGTGTATCAAACACCCTAAGGCCGTACTGACGACATTCATTTTGAAACAAGTTTTGGGTATGCATACAAACCAAAAATTTAAGTTTCCACCACAAACAAAAAAAAAATGCCAGAAAGCAAGACATTGCTTGCACGCGCCGGCGCAGTCAACAAAAAAATTTCGGAAGCAAGCACTCCGAACGCATGAAACGAAAACAACCACAACAACAACGCTCAGAATCAAGAAGAGATACGAGGCGCCACGAGCCGCTCGCGTCGTCCACATGGAAAACCGTTGGCCTACTGCTGTGACTGACATGCACCATAACCCGCCGCCCTACTTCCGTCTTACTTCGTACCATTTTGTGCCGCACTCCCTACTCGCGCTACGTACGTTCGTGCTACTCCTACTCCTACTGTACCCCCGCATCCCCGTCGTCAGCGTCCTCAAAGGCGGCGAAACCCGCCCGCGCGGGGGCCCCTCCGAGCAGTCTCCCGAACACCCCCGGCGCTCCGGCGCCGGTAGCGGTCCCGCCCGCCGCGACCTCGTCTCCGCCCTGCCCCGTGCGGATGACCCTCTTCGAGCGGCCGCCACTTCCTGCGGAGGCATTGGACGACGAGCGGAAGCTGCTGTCGCAGGGCGAGGCCTGCAGGAAATCCTCCTCGCGCTCGACGGCCTCCTCCCCGTGACGCGCCGCCATGGAAGAGGACATCCCCTTCGACATCTCGAACCCCCCGCTCCCGCCGCCGCCGCCGACCTGGCTCATGGCAGACCGGTACACGCCTCCCCCCGTTCTCTTCCAGCGCTGCCGCACCGCCAGCGCCACCACACCGAGGCCGAGCAAGGCCATCGTTCCCAGGCCCGCGACCACGCCAACGGTCACCACACTCGTCTCCCCCTCCACCACCTCGCTACTGTTTGCGCCCTCCGGGGCGCTCGCAACGCCTAACCCTGCGCCATCGTCGTCACCGTCCGCAGGAACAGCCGCTGATGGTGCCCCTGAGTCGAGGGCGGCATCCGCCTCGCACGCTTCGCCGGTGCGGCTGCCTGTGGCCCTGGCTATCCCTACCGTTTGGGTCTGCACGTTGTACGCCGTGTAGAAGGTGCGCAGGAAGGGATCGCCCAGGACCCTGTTTGTTGTTGTTGTTGTTGTTGTTGTTGTTGTTGTCGGCATTGGTGGCAGTGATGTCGACGTCGGAAAGCCGCCGTCCCGATGCCAGCAAAGGCACACGCAACAAACAGGGGAGGACAAGAGGGGGACGAAAAACTCGTCAAGGCTTGCAGCGACCACCACGCAGGGCGGGAGGGTAAGGAGCTCTCCATCTGTTATAGAGGATAAATGCGCATACCATCAAAGAAAGACCACGTTTTTTGTCCCGTGGTTGCTGACGAAAGGACTACATGTATTGTGCCGTGGTTAGGGTACCATCGAAGGTTCTCGCGGTATTCCCAAGTCACCTTCCCCTTCGTCGGCAACCGTCTACTTTCAAGTAGCAAAGCGATCGCCCTCTCGATTGGAAAGGGTACGGTGGCATATTTAAGGTACGGCGGTGGCGTGCTCTTAACTCACCAAGTGTCAGTCAGGTCTGCCCCGATCATGCCGAAGATACACATGGGGTCGAACACTGAATCCGTGGATGCGAAGTCAGTCAAGGGTTGGAGCAGCTCCGTTTCCTGTATCGCGTTTGATGTCACAGGAAGGGAATAGGCGGGAGTAGAGACACGAAGAGAGCAAGAGGTGCAAACAGACAGATGGCACAGGCAGGCAGGCAGGCAGGCAGGCAGGCGGACGGACAGACAGACAGAAATGAGCATTGCCAGCCTGAGAACATTCACCCTACAGCAGCAGTACATGTTAACGCATTCGGCCCAAAACAGAGGTAGAAAACGATGGAACAAGAGAAAAACGAATGTTACAAACGGCGAGCAAGCCAGGTCGAGAAGATTCGCATCGATGGAGAAGAGAGCCACATCACCAGAGACAGAAGCACAACCAGTTGCTGGCGCGTGGGGAAAAGCACCAAGGAGAAAAAAACAACCAAAAGAAGAGTCCCTGCGGCAAAGGAAACTCGCGTCACGGACAAGTATGGCACACACAATGCCGCCGCCGTCAAGAACAACCAAGGCAGGTTGGCGCATGGTTGAGGCTACGCTGAGGTGGAAGCAGCTGGCCGTGCGAGGGTGGGCTCTAAAAGAAAATATTTGTAATTTACCGTTAGCGCGAAGTCGTCCCCGCCGAAGAAGAAGTTGATGTCGTCGAAGTCAGTGGCACACTCCACCAATATCAACTCCACCTCGCGAGGGTCATTCATGCATTCGATCTGTGGGCGTGGTGCCGTGGGGCGAGCGAGAGCAAGCGGGGGGGCGTTGTTGTATATTAATCGCCGTTTTTCCTCGGCATTCCCGGCGCGCCTACGTGGTGAACACGTAGACACCACGTATACGCCGTCATGTGTTCCCTGATATAGAACAAACCTCACATCAGTACGCCAGAGGGGAGACGGGGGGCATCCCACACGTCAGTAGGCCGGGCGGGGGGGGTTGGGTTAACGCCGAGTGTTGGAGGGCCCGAAGGCTTATTTTTCTCCATCGCCGTGACAGGAGGACCGCAATACCACGGCCGAAAACGCTATCCTTATCCATCCGACATTTGTTTGTGCAACCACAAGCACCGAGCAAAAAAGGAAACGCCGTCTGGCCCACAAGCACAAAGAACGCACATACATCCGTTAAGAAATAAAATAAACGCGTTTTCATGGGCCAACCTGCACGTGCTTACGGGTGACGAACGCGCCCAAAAACGAAGTCCAACTAGACGGCCAACACGCAGAGCAAGCGGCATGTGCTAGCAATGATTCCCTCCACGCTGGACAAGCGGACAGGCGGTTCGAGGCGGAGATCTCGCGATCAATCCCCGATCCCCAAAGAAACGAATTATTATACCTTGTACAAACCACACGGAAACGAAATCACAAAACCAGAAGAGCAATCGCACAAACAAGACAAAGCAACACAGAGAATATGCTGTGCGGAGTCGATGCAGGTACTCACAATATCAGCAGAGGACGAGGAGGAGGCCTCCATAACCTCGGTGAACTTGATGCACATGGCACCGATCATGTCGGCAATCATCGCCACGTCATCGAAAGGCCCCTGGATTAAGGAGGCTCCCGTGTCTAGGATTGCCGCTGCCCGCGAACTTGTATATTTCGTCACGAAACACGGCGCAGGTAGCACGCGTGGACGGCGGCGGCGGCAGCAGCAGGAGCAGGAGCAATGATAGCAGCGGCAGCAGAACAAGGTCGTCGTTTCGGTCACACGGGTACCAAAGATGGAGCAGCAGCAGCAGCAGCAGCAGCAGCAGCAGCAGCAGCAGCAGCAGCAGCAGCAGCAGCACTAGCTTGAATCATAGAAAGAGAACACCAGCAGCAACATCGTCTCGATCTCTGCCGCGAAACCGGACGAGGATGTCGACGGTTGGTTGTGAAAAAAGACAATCATTTTGGGCGCACGGCTTACCTCCCTCCCGAGCTCAAGACACCTGAAAACAAGAGGAAGCTTTGTCCATGCGTACCGTAGGTGACATGACGTAAGATACCACATCCCCCGGATCGATTTTCAAAGCTCGATTACTCCACGGTAGAAGGAGTGGCGGTGCCGAACATTACGGCGTTGGAAAACGGCTCGTCGAGATCATTCCGAAAACACAACATGCCGAACATGACGGTCTTAAAAACCGGTCCAGGGGGTGTGATATCTTGTGTCACCCACCTTCGTCAGGATACTGCATGTCAAATACAGCGGGGGCTTTCTAAACCTACAAACCCAGCCCCAACCCCAAGCAAAACCAAGGTTAACAACGTCCTTGCGAAGGCTACTAGAGAAGTTCCTCCCCTCCCCCCTCCACCCCTCCCTCTCCTCGCGCACCGTCAGACAGAGCCGACCCGCCGCACCCCTCCTTCCACACCTGAGCATGCTCTCCGACCCGTACTTGATGTCCCTGAGACCGACGGACCAGAATCCTTCCGGCACGGCGCCTGGCAATTCTGAGGTCCCATCCAGGGCATCCGAGGTCGCGACCCACTCCAGGCAGCCTTGCACGCACAGGCAGCAGCGCAACATCACACGTTTGTTTCAACAGGGTTACACCAAAAGTGCTGCGAGTGTGAGGGGGGGGGGGGTGGAGAAACGCGCCGGAGGGGCTACGAAGGGGCGACGGCAGTGACGGATACCTCGCGCCTGCAACCAAGGCCGGCGCTCGCTGCTTAAGGTACATGCTCTCAACGGGGTAGTGCTGGTAACGATGACGACTTTCCGCGCCTCGCAGTGTACGCGCAAAAAAAAAATTTCCAACGCTTGTTTGGCTTCGCCAGGCACACACAACAATGGTTCTGTGGCTGGGATTGGTGATGGCCAAACCTACTCACGCCCAAGAGCGGTTTGACGGGATTCAGCACATTCGATGGGAGCGGGGGAGGGGAGGTGACACCGGCTCTCATTCGTTGCTTGCCTCCGTCATTGACTACACGCATAACAATCGATCCGAAGGATCACATCTGAAGAGAGTCAGCCCCCCACCAGTGAAGGCATCAACAGCGGCCGAATGAGAGGATTACCTTCGTAGTGCGTCTGGTTGACACCCCCCAGCGTAAGCACGCCGTGTGGCCCCTCGCTGGCGTCCATGTTGCCAAGGAAAAAGGAAAATATCGGGAGCCCCACGACGCCCGCCTTTCGATGTCGCGCAAGATACGTCACGCAGCAGCAGCAGCAGCAGCAGCAGCAGCAGCAGCAGCAGCAGTCACGAAGAAATGATGAGACAACAAAACTACGACGGCAGAGAACACGACGTGGTGAACAAAAACGAACAAAAAATAGCGGTAGGTTTCGTGTGCCTCCCTCGAACAGCAGGAGGAGGTGCTGGATAAGTAGAGTAACACGACGCTACAGCACCAATACCACACCAAGACTTCGGGGGTGGGGGGGAAGCAAAAGGTGGCGACACCGATAACGATAGCGACAAGGACGATAGATAGTGGCACGGCGACGGAGACACAGTAGTATACATGTGCCAACGAAACAAAATGACAGGCTGAACAGATGCCACGCCATGGACCCCCACGGGAAACGCCGTGTCGCTAGAGCGGGAGGGGAGAAGGAGGAACTGGAGAGAGTAGAGGTCAAGAACGGTTTTCACAAACGTACGTACGTACGTACGTACGTACCTCAACCATGTCTTCGAAGGCGTTCGTCTCCTCGTCGTTCGTGAGGCCCATACCCATCTCCCCGTCCACCTCCGTGCAGCCTTCTAGCTCCGCCTCCGTCATCTCGGCGAAGGTCACGGCCGTCGACATTCCTCCCATCGTCAACACATCATTCGACAGGAATCCTGCGCGTCCTCGGCAATGATACTTTGGTTTTAACATGCATGTATCTCGTAGCAAAAAAGAGGGACGGGGGGGGGGGGGGGAGGGGGTACACGCAGCACTTCCCCGTTCTCTGAAGATATCTGGGCGCTCTGATTGTCCCCTCCGCCATGCTCTACGCCAGTCTCTTGTGCATGCTTTACTGCGCACTCGTTTTCCCGGTGGTTTCGTGGCCACCGTCAATGAGAGGGGGGGGAGGGGTCATTCGATACGTTTGATCGCCTCCGAATAGCCGTGACCACTCGTGTGTCGCAAGGGAGACAAGCGTCAGAATATCAACCCGCACGCTTCTGCATTGAGGTTTGCATTGGCGTCTACCGGCGTTCATATCTCGCTCAGCACACACAACACGCATGGATCGTTTCTTCGCACACCAAAAATGAATACCTGTTGTTTTCGAGTGGGGAGGGGGGTGCTTCCAGACGTCATTTGAAATGGATTGTGAACACTGAGCGATTACAAGGTATGCTCGCCGGGGGCAGAGGTGTCACCACCGCCCCCTGTACTCAAAATCATCGCGCCTTCTGTTGCAACGCCGTGTGCGATAACCGCATCATTCGTGCCAAATCTGGCTACAGCAGTGCGGGGGAGGGGGGGGGGTCACGCCGCAAAAGCCCGTGCATAACCTATTGACACTAATCAAGCGCTTTCACGGCGCATTTCTGCTTGGATGGACGTAAGGAAAATATGCCCAATAAGAAGGTTTCTGTCGGCTATACCAAGACTACGTGTGCACAGCGCCTGCGGAAAAGGGCCATGATTCAAGTTTTAAGATTGTACGGGAGTGTGCGAGGGGTGCTCCATGCCGCACACGCCCCGCGATCTCCTGCACTACGAACAACAACAAAGGACTTGAAGTGACCACAAAACACAAAAAAATATTGCGGTGACGACCGACCTCGGACCTCCTTTGTTCTTCTCTCTCTATCGCTCTCTCCCGGCTGATGCCATTCAACAGTCTTCGCGATGAAATGACACACGCCACCAGAAGGAAGAAGGCTGCTATACTGGCCTGTGGTATATTTATTTGCACAACACCAATTGCGGTACCTGTCAATATCGTGTAGTCGTATGCGTCCTCGATGGAGAAAGGCGACCCATCAGCCTCGTACGTGCTCGAAAGGGACGCATCGTAGCCCCCGCTCGGCGACCCGCAAAACTCGCAATCGGTGTTGGCGACCTGGATGATCGCGTTATTTATCGCGCGGGAAGGGGGGGGGGAAGCGTCAGAGGGAGCGTCAAAGGGGGTTCCCCGTGTGCAGACTGCGGAACCCCCCCCCCCCCCCCCCCCCCCCCCCCCCCCCCCCCCCCCCCCCCCCCCCCCCCCCCCCCCCCCCCCC